AGATAAACTCAAGCAGCATGAGAGAGATCTTGAGGATACCAGCAGTGAACTGAAAATAAAAGATGAGCTATGCCAAAAGGCAAAGGAGGAACTGGAGGAAGAACAAAGAATATGCGGAGAAAAGATAGAAGAAGCAAATACGAATTATGCTCAAAGAAAGAAGGAGACACAGCGTGACATGGAAGAACAGCTACAAATTTTAAGACAAGAGAGCAGTCAGGCTTTAGCATTGAAAGGGATGGTTAGTGCATTGGTCAATGAGTTAGTCGAAATGGGACTCATAAATGTTACAAATGTGGTCACCGACGTGAAAGATAATATGACAGACATGAAGTCAGGAATGAAACAAACAGCTCAAAAAATAAAAGAAACCCAGAGACAGATGTCCGATAAGATGAATGAAACAACAGAAGAGCTGAGCAAGAAGATGGAAGAACAGGGAACGGCCTTCAGAGATGAAGTACAGAGTACGACTAGCAGGTTGAAGGATGAACTGGCAGCAAAAACGGATGAACAAGTAGAAGGAATGACTGAAAAAATCAAGACAGATGTCAAAGAGGCAATAATAGCAAATATTGTAGCATCTTCAGCACCAGTACAGGAAACAACCTACACTGCCTTTGAAGAGGATCAGAACCCACATGACCAAGAAACCTCTCACCATATATTATCAAGTCAGTTTTATCTTAAACGATATACATGTACATGTACATGTACATTTCTTGTTGGCCAGTGACAAACTCCATAGCTAATTGAGTGTAAGTTTGGTTTATCAACAACCCATTCAGAATGCATCATTTTTCATAAATAAAAAATTTACTAATGCAATTATTAATTAATTAATAACTATTATTAACTATTAAGCATTAACATTTATTGCTGTTGTTTAGGTTCCAGCTCTAACTGTGGTAATGATACATACTCAATGCAAGAAACTCATGATAGTAAGTTTTTAAAATTATGAGTACATGTATAATAGTAAAATAGAATTTGTTTACAATAAAAAGAAATAGGAACTCAATTATACATGTACTGTACATCTATTACATGCTATACTATATCCCAACTGAGTTTGATCACTAACCAACGTGAGAAAATGTTGTAAAAACTTGTCAAAAACAACAAAATTATTGTTCTAAAATAATTTTAAAATAAAACAAATATTTAAAAGAGATCTCATTTGTTTTACGTAGCTACTCAACTGATAGTGACGCTGTAAAAAAACTAAAACTGGCGAATTCAAACGCACTTAGCCCCTCCTCCTAAAATAAGCCACACCTACTAATTAATAACTGGTAGAACAGGATTCAAAAACCTGTAATGTGTTTTCAAAAAGTTTTTTTCGTGTCCTCTACTTTGCTCTGTCTTGTGTCCATAAAAGTCCATTGTACATAATGGCTCCACTTCATGCAGTAGTGTCTTGTTGTTAGGAATAATCTCTTTCGTCCTGTTTTAATAAAACCTAGTACACTACCATTACCAAGGGCATAGCTGGGAAGGAAATGATGAAAGAGCCTAAAGATAAGTGGCGCACAAAGCGCGCCGAAAATTCGGACATACTTCCTTTTTAGCGCTCATATAGTGCACTAAAATAGCATTTTGCGTATTTTAAAGCATCTAATTCTTACATTTTTGACAATGATTAATATAAAATGAATGTTTTGTTTTGGCCTACTTTTCATTTCTTGTACATTCACTGCTGTGCAATGTATTGTACATGATTACAAGGTGGTTAATTTATATTACTAGGTGGTAGGTAATAAAACAAACAATGAATATCATTATCAACAAAAATTGATGGGGGGGCCCAGGCCCCTATAGGCTCCCCTCAGATACGCCCCTGACCATTACCACTAGAGAGAGGTGGAGGGAGAGAAGGAATATTCCTTCTTTCCCTCCCCCTCCCTCTAGTGGTAATGGTAGTGTATTAGGTTTCATTAAAACAGGACGAAAGAGATTATTCCTAACAGACAACAGGACGTTACTACACAAAGTGGAACCATTATGTATAATGGACTTTTATGTACATGAAACAAAAGATTCTGAAATGAAGAAGTAAATACACCGTACATGCACACATATTTACTTATTCATTTCTGAGTCTTTTAAAAGATATATCAGATGACTGCATAATCCTTGCGTGAGAGGTAATTGGAAACTTTAAACCTTGCGCCTTCAAAATAAATGCTATACACACATCCACCCATATGTAATTGATAGTGCAAAATGTACATTAATATTTTCAGGTGCCCTTCATGTACACTAGAATAATAATGAATATTATATTTGAATTTTCAGGAGCCCTTGCAATCGTTAGTAGGTGCTAAAAATTAATTAATTAAATTTTATTTACTTTTGAAGAGGCAAAAGTCTGGAGCAGGTCCAGCTAGGGGCCCCCTCAGTGGGTAGATCTAATATTGAGATAGAACGAGGATGACAAGGGGGTCGAATCTAATCTGGGTTTAAATGGACACTCTGACGCATGAATCCTGTATAAGCTGAACTTGCTAAATTTATAAAACAATTGTCAATTGGACATTTGAGCCCCTTCTCTTCCTCCATCTCTATGAATGTACCTAATTTTTTGTACGTTGTTGATGTGTGATTTTTTGTATTTGTGTCAAATGCTATTTTTATTAATTAATCATTATTATTCATCTCTTCTGTCTCAGTTATTATTATTATTATTTTAATGTGATTCATTTTCTGTATGTATTCCCAATTAATATTTAATAAGTCAAACCTGCTATTCTGGACACTCTAAAATAAGGACACCTCTATAATTAGGACAGGTAGTATCAGTCCCAATACAATAGTAATGTGTATTAATGAACCTCTGAAATAAGGACAGGCTCATAATCAGGAGCGTATTATTGGGTCCCAAGGTGTCCAGAATAGACAGGTTTCATTGATCTTACTCAACTTCCTAAGTACTAGAATATTCTGATTCTATTTCATGCATGCAATATCAAGCACACCTAATTGTGTCATTTGTGTGTCTAAATTGATGTAGTTAAACTCTTTACACATTATAAGTAATTTAGTACAGTGTGAAAAAGTGATCAGAGTGAATGCTTATGTTAATGAAGGAATCCTTTCCATGAGTGATTCTTAATGGATGATGATGTACTGCTGAATGATAGGATGTTACCAGTTGTCATGCTACTTTTAATTGATGTACTTGATCTGAGAGAAAGAGGGGGGAATTGACAATTGAGTTACAGTATGAAGTATGAACATTCATCTTATATGTGTATGCAAAATTTGACCTTTAGATATACAGTATGTTAATGGCACATATCCATTTCTCAAAACGATTGCAAAATTTTAATTCTCAAGAACGATCATTGTTTCATTTTGTGTTTTGTTTTATGCATGTAATTTGAGATGAAATATATATGCATGCATGCATGCAATTATTCTTCTGCTCAATTAGGCAATTTTTGGCCTCACATTGCATGTGACTAGATAGATACATACCCTTTACGCGCACACACTATCATTCCTCATTGTATTATATTATATTTTATTGTGTAGTACTACGTGAAGATCCTACAATAGCTTCTAAG